CACGGGTCTCTATTGATGTTCTGCCCGCCGCGGAGCAAAGTGGACAGGCACGCGTGCACGTGTGCGCTGAATTCCCCGTGGGGCACGATCCGCGCGAAGGGTGTGCCTATCAATTCGGATGCCCCCGCGCGAACACGCCCGCTGGGGCCGCAGGTGGAGCTCCGGGCACGACCCGTGCGCGGCGTGTTCCGAAATAGACGAGGGGGCGCCATACGAAGCTGCCCACTGGTGCAATAGTCTTGGCATCGCTCGGACTTGTGCATTTTTTCTCGGCGAGAACCATCGAGGACCATCCAGGACCATCGAGCAACAAAAAACACGCACGAAACCGACAAATGCACGGGAAATGGACGTCCGAGCGACGGCAAGTAGTTGGAGCTCCTTCTCGGGCATGATTCGCGTAACGGGTGTGGCGACAGGGGCGGCGGGGGGGGCCCTGTTCGATCTTTGTCTCTGGGCCTGGAGGAGGTGTTCCCTGTGGGCGCGATCCGCGTAGTGGGATGTGCCGCAATGGGCGGGGCGTCCTGGGACCACCGGGGGCCTCTTTGGAAGCCTTGGGATTGTTGGACCTTCTTGAGTTGCGAAAGGGTGAGAAAACGGACAGCCATTCAAACGTTGTGAACAATCAGTGGTTTGGGTTTCTTTGGGTTGTGCTGGAAAGCCTCCCCCCCCGGGCTATCTTGGTGGGACCATCGGGGGTCTCTTTTGCCGCCTTGAGGCTGTTGAACCTTCTTGGGCAGCGAAAGGGTGAGCAAACGGACAACCATTCAAACGTTTTAGAAATTCAGTAATTTGGGCTTCTTTGGGCTGTCTTGAAAAGCCTCCCCCTCCAGGCTATCTCGGCCAGCTTGGAGGCGTATGGGGCGAACGTGGAGGTTTCTCGTGTCATCTTGGAGGCCTCCTTTGCCCATCTTGGACCTTCTTGGCCCGTCTTCAGTACCATTTTGGGCCATGTTGGCTGGCTTTGAGGCGAGTTGTCTTGTGAGCGGTGGCGGCGGACGGGCCGAACAAGGAACCTTTAGGAAGGGCCAACCGTGTTGCAAATCTTGGCAGGCCGCGCACCCCTCTTGCAAGGAACAGGGGGCGACGGATCGAAGACGCCTACGTGCGCGTCACCACCGTCCCCTGCCTTTGGGAAACGCCTATGTGTTTGACCGTTGGGGAGAGTTTGGGCAAACGTTTGGATTGCGTGCTCCCCCCCAGCCGTTGTAAAAGCTATTTGGGGAACATGGGATGGCCTCTGGGGGGCCTTCTCGGGGTATCTTG